GAAGGGGGAGAAAGAGCTATCTGTACAAAGAGGGAGGGATAAAAGAGCCAGACTGACTAGCTTTCGTGGAATCAAAATATAGTAATCAAACCTTTTATTCAAGTAACATTCGGGAAGCTGTAAGGAAGGTACTTAAGACCACAGCGTTACAAAGAATAGCATTCAGCACTTACCAAGCACCTGCCATGTCTAGATGAGTAGGACATGATCTCTGCCTTCAAAGACCAAAATGTCTCTGGGCTTGTTCCCAAACAAGCGGCTGGGAGACAGACTTAAAGTCTGACAACCTCCGAGTGAAACAGAAGTTCTCATAAAAACCTGTGGTAATTAAGATTCTGAGACCTCATTCTTGGTAGTATACCTCTAGTCCTAACATGCACACAGTTAAACTTGCAGGGGGAAAATGTGGGTCTCCCAGCAGTGGAAAAGACACGAGTCCCTAAATAAGATACTATGTAATCGCCATATAGTAAGTAGCAAAGCCCTCCCTGAGCTATAAAGGAAGTGTAACCATTGGGTCTGTAAACTTACAGCTTTGCCGTTGTAACACACAAAATCATTATCCCTGATGTTCTTGTCCCATGCTGGGAAAGTAATCCTGCTTTTATAGCCTGACTTCTTCCTTTAAAGATGCTCGAAAGCAAAAAATATTGTATCACCAGCATCTGGCATAGCAACTGGCATATAGTAGTTGCTCAGTAAATATCGATTGAATGATAAGACATATTATCCCTCATTAACTGCATTACCTGTGTTGTATTCTTTGCTTCCTGCAGCTCTGGTAGCTGAAGAACATCTTACGGTGGATGCCAGAGTCTATTCCTATGCTCTCGCGCTGAAACACGCAAACACGAAGCCATTTGAAGTGCCCTTCTTGAAATTTTAAGGTTAAAGACAACACTGGCCATACGTTTTTATAAATGAGACCACCAGGCCTTCTTCACTAAGACTTTGTATTCAACTTAGTTTAATGTAGATTTGAAATTAGCTTTTTCATAAAATAAAAGCGCAGAATGCACATGGTGGTGGTATGGAATTATAATTACAGGTAGGCTGTAACCTTCATTTAAATTTGTTAAACTCCAGCTAATATTAACAAAAAAGAACATAAATGCAGATATGTTTACTCCAATTTTTTTTAAGCTCAACTGTTACTTTTCTAGTCTAGGAGATAGGGTATTTCTATACGAAAGCAGACCTGAGTTCCAAATTAGAACTATTTCTACCCTCAACCCCCAATATATAATTCTATAACTTGGTATGCAAATAACTATTTACTGTATTAGTGTTTAAAACAGAGCTTTAAAAAAAAACTTATACAGGGACTTTCTTGGCCTCTTCTAATTAAATTATTTTCTTTATGGGCTTGAACTCAGTAGTAGAAGATGTAAAATCAATAGAGAATAACATTTGTGATAAGCAAATACTTATATTTACTTAATGTCCTCATATTCACCTGTTTACTGAAGCTGACCAAGCTCTTACATGATGCAAAATCGTTGACTCCATTCACTATCCCAAGGCTAAGAGACTAATGGAAATTCAGGGCCCTTCCCTCAAGCGTGTTCTCTATCCTTACCTCAAAGAGTAGTTGAAGTTTCTAAAAACAAATCCATAGTAATGAGATTGCTTGGTGTGGGGCACCGTCGTCTTGTGTTAAACCACAAGTAGAGCCAGCAAGGTTAGCCAGTACTTGAAACCCAACACAAACTACTCAGACCAAAAAATGCCACAATTGTATAATTGTATAATGGTATAACTGTAGCTAAAGCCCCTGTCATCCAAAAGCTCTACCAGGGTTACTGGGCCATTTTCTTAATCTCAAGTGAGCTTACCTCATACTGACTTTTAGGGCCTTCAGCAGCTCCAGGCCTTCCAGTTTAGCCCCCACAGAAGCGTCAGGATGATTCTCACTGGCCGGCCCTAAGTCATGTTTCTAGCCTGGATGCAGAGGGTAGGCCAGGCCCTCAGAACCACATGAAAGTGGTTCTCCAGGTACAATCAGGGTACTAATGCCCAGAATGCTGCTATAGTTCATTTGTTTACAGGTTCACTGTCTTGCCAAAGGTATTTTTATGAGTGAAAATATAAGATCTTTATATTGGACTTTTTAAATGAGGATAAAAACAATTATGGAAGTATAGAACTTTATAGATCAAATCAACTCTCCCTATAAATGTGAAAATTAAGATCCAACTACTTGCTGTAATAGTAGCCTTTCCCTATTCCCCTAATCCCCTTTTTAAAAATCCTGATTTTAATCATGAGCGTCATGATTCTCCAAAGATCTTGTTTTCTCTGAGTTCTAAAGGACCACATCCCACAATCCTCTCTGTCACTCCCCTCCTTCAAAGACAAGAAGAGGTAAGGCATATATAGACTCAGCAGGGGCCAGTCTTTCCAAATAGACAAATTCTTCCAAGCCACTCCCCATGGGCATAACCTGCTCTTAATTTTTTTTTTTTCAATTTCAGAATATTACAGGGGTACAAACCCTTTGGTTACATATATTGCCTTTGCACTGCCCAAGTCTCTTAAATTAACCCTTGTCCTTTCTTCCTTTCTTCCCAAGAGTTCAACAGAGAAGTGACAGCTAAATCTTAGAAAGTATCCCTAATGCCATATATATTTTTTATAATAAGGCTGTGCTTTGGAAATTAAGTCAAAGTTTGAGAACTGGCCGTCTGCATGTTTTTACTGGCTGGGCCTCTTTAAAATTATTTGCCCTACCATTTCAAAATTGAAGCTTTCCTATTGAACATATTTCCACCTTCTTTTGAAGAAAAAGAGATGGGATAATACTGGGCCTGTATTTCTAACAGTGGGCTGAGGCCCTTGGGAGATGCTCTCCGGTGGACCGTTGCTACCATCCTGCTTCCCTTTTTTTAATTTCTGGAGACAGAGTCTCACTCTGTCACTCCAGCTAGAGTGCAGTGGTGTCATCATAGCTCACTGCAACCTCCAACTCCTGGGCTCAAGCAATCCTGCTGCCTCAGCCTCCCGAGTAGCTGGGTCTACAGTCACGTGCCATGATGCCTGGCTAATTTTTCGATTTTTGGTAGAGACGGGGTCTCCCTATTGCTAAGGCTGGTGTCAAACTCCTGGCCTCAAGCGATCCTCCTGCCTCGGCCTCCCACCAGAGTGCTGGGATTACAGGCGTGAGCCACTGCGCCCAGCCCATCCTGCTTCCCTTTATCTGTCTTGCTCCTGTAATTATTTGGCTTTGTGATCCTAAGACATGCTTACTACACTCAGTAAGAAAGTAAACAACAATGGAAAACCATACTTCTGAAAAGGATATCTTTTAAAAATTAAGTATGATCTTCTTGTGAGAAATAAAGCATATCCTTTTAAAAATGAATTACTTACAAAGAACTATGCTCTTTGAAATGGTGACTGGAATACTGCTTTGAGACCACTGTTTTCCTGTTCCTTTCCAAATGTTAGTCACATGACTGAGTACTCAAGTTGGTCAATGGCCTTCGATAATTTAGGATTAAAGTATAATTACATTTAGCTTCTTTCAATAGGGATCTCGGGATGGACCTTATAAGAATGCACTAAACCTATAAAAATAATCTTAGAAAACATTTAATATCAGATTTCTTTATTTTTCCAACACAACTGAAACAGTTTTATTAAATAAAAGTTTATTGTCTACTGGTTACACTCATGTTGCTGCTATAAGTACAACAACATACACAAATTCCTAGCATGAATTACTCATTGTTCACCCCCACTGAACTACAGACATTGCTTGAGAATTAGATCTTTGCTTTACAGATTTAAAAAAAAAAAAAGAAAAGAAAAGAAAAGAATTGGGGCACAATGTGTTGAAAGAGTATTCTCAAGTGACTGGCTGGAGTTTTCGAAGGCATAGCAATACAGTCCAACAGCACTGATTATGCTGTCACTGGGAAGAAAGGAGGAATGAAAAACAGGAAGAAGAATTTGAAGCAGTTGTTTCCAGTGACAGAAATAACTTGATGCATGATTTTGCCCATCTGGGCTAAGTGGCTGCTTTGAAAAGGGACAAATAAAAAGAAGGGAGTGTGGGGATACTATGAGTTAAAAAAGTATAAAAAGTAATTATCTAAAATATAGATTAGATATAAATGTTCCAGAACTCATTAAATAAGCTCAAAAATACTGGAAAGTGGCAATTTGAACTACATTTATTTTTAAACAAGTAGGGGGAATATTAAGTGTTTTGAATGTTGTGTGCAAAACTAACCCATGTCACCATCTCACTGTCATGACTGAACACAGCAAGGTAGATGCACTGGTTTCCAGCATTACAGGCAACACTAGATGTACATTTTTTAATGAATAATGTAAACTTTAGTTTTAAGGCAGCTGGTACTAATGCTGCACACAGGCTTAGCTCGGTGCCCATTTCAGAAGCGGGACAGTCAGCACTTGAAGACAAACTGTGAGGGGGGAAAAAAAGGGGAACCACCAGCATTATTTGAAAAAAAGTGTCAAAATATTTCCCTTTCACACGCACAGAAAGAAATATTTGAACGTTTAGAAAAACAAAGCGCCCATCCCGCCAACCTCAGCCTGTTCCTTAACAAATATTTCGAAATACTGATAAATAATAGTAACTGCAAGCAGAATTCCAGTGCCAGATCCGATGGCCCCGAGGAAGTCGGCTAACACCGACAGGGCGCCAATGCACAAACCACCAAATGCAGCTGCTGTGGGGATGTACCTAGAAGACAAAACACCCTGAGTTAACCAGTGGAGGAAGACATGAAAAGGTACAGCAGTTAGAAACAATAATACATCAAAGCTTTCCCGGCAACGGTTCTGTCTAGAGAAACGTAACTGAACTAGTCAGGGGGGGAACAGTCTGCAGTACTGACAGACTGTATGGAACAGACGACATTAATGAGAACTCTGCAATCAAGGCATGATTTTGACGCCCTAATTTCAAGCAACCAGAAATAGCCAAGAAAGGCAATACCTGATCTTGGGGCAGAAGATCAGAATCCTAGAATGAGATTTAAGTACTAAAATGGTTTTAAATGAGTAAGTAACCTTTAGTTCACTCTTGTAGAATGAAAAGTAAATTTCAAAACGCTTTCTAAGTATCAAGAAATTTATGTGACAAGATTTTGATGATCCTCTTCAACAGTAGTTCAACCTTGGCTATAAATTAGAATCACCTGAAAAACTGTTAAAAATGGGATTTTATTTAAAATACTCCAGGAAGAACAAAAGGGGAGATGGTAGAGGAAAAAAGAATGGTGGAATGATGGTAACTGAAACTGGAGGTCCATTATACTACTCTCTGCAATCTATGTTCTAAGTGAACAAAAAGTTTAAATAAAAATACTAGTGCCCCTAAAGAATGGTGCCAGACAACTGGATATCCACATGCAGAAGAAGGAACCTGGACCTCTATCACACCAAACACAAAAATGAACTCAAAGTGGCTCACAGACCTAAATGTAAGAGCCGAAAACTCCTAGGAGAAAGAAGAAAAAATCTTGGTGACTTTGGGTCTGGCAATGCTTTCTTAGATATAACACCAAAAGCAGCACAAAACCACCAAAGAGAAAATAAAATTGGAGTTCATCAAAATTAAAAATTTGTGCATCAAAGGACATCTTCAAGAAAGTAAAAAGACAACCACAGGATAGAAGAAAATACTTGCAAATCATCTATCTGACGAGAGAAAATTTCCAATAGGAAAAAAACCCAACTCTTAAAACTCATTAACAAAAAGACAACCCAATTAAAAATGAGGAAATTATCTGAATACACATTTCTCCAAAGAAGATATAAATGGCTAATAATCACATGAAAAGATGTTCAAATTAGTCATCAGGGAAAAGCAAATCAAAAGCACAATGGAATACTACTTCACATGCACTAGGATGGCTAAAATCAAAAAGCAAGAACTAGTGCTGGTAAGGGTGTGCAGCAGTGGGAACACTCATGTTACTGGCACAAATGTAGAACAGTGCAGCCACTCTGGAAATAGTTGGGCAGTTCTTCAAACTGTT